GGAAATCAAAATTTAAGGAGAAGGGCAGGGCTGTGCTCTATAAGAACAAAAAAAAACCCTCAAATTAACCTCCCCTGAGCTGATTGGACTTAAATTCTTGTGAGAACTTAATGCTTAACCTTGCGTGATAAAACCTTCTTTGCGACCTTCAAAACCTGGCCGCATGAGTTTTTTCTCTCTTTTCGCAATCTTCCGCATTTTCTTCTCTTGCTTCTTCTGTGATATGTTATCTGATCTCTTCTTCTGTTTGTCTGCTTTCATCTTCTCTGTGGTTTCAACCCTTCCCTTCCACTTCTCAGCATTCTTCTGGTGCTTCTTCTTCTCCTTGTGAAGGCTTTGTTTCAACAACTTTGGATCATCATGAACCTTGATCCCAGCAGCTCTACTTGTTGCTGCTTTCCAAGAATGCTTCTTTGCGATTATCTCACCTTTCTCGGGATCTTTCTTGGCTTCTTCCAACTGTTTTGCCCTCTCAAGCTCCTGCAACTTTGACAATTTTCTCTTCTTATTCTTCTTCCCCAGCTCATCTTCATTCCCAAGTTTGACATGACTGAATGTGAGCTCCTTCGAAGCCTCTGCAGCATCTTTCATCACTGAATCGTCACTAGTCGATTTCTTTCCATCAGATGCAGTTTCTCTCTTCCGTTTCTTCGGGTCAGCTCCTTTCTTCTCATATCTCTCATGTCTCTCGATCCTCTTCCTTGCTCTCTCTGAACCTTCACAGTGCCGACCAGCCCGAAACTCCTCGATCTTACAACGAAGACGATGCTGGAGTTCTTCATATGTCACTGACCGGTCATCATCTTCTAGACCAGCCACCACAGGTTTAACCTCTATTTCATCACTGTCACTCTCATCGCTTGACTTCTTTTCCAAACTTTGTTTTAGCAAATCAAGGGTTGTCGTAGAAGACTTCTCTGGATCCAATCGTTGTCTTCGAGCTTTCTTAATATTTTCCTTTGATTCCTTCTTTGCTGAAGCTTTGGCAGACTTGCTGAGACCCTGAAACCACGGCTTCTCATCATCGTCAATGGGTAGATAGAACCTGGCAGGGATGAGCTCAACTAACTTGTCGAAGAACTGAGAATTCTGATGGATAATAGACTTCAGA